CTCCACTTCAGGCTTTCCCTCAGCCTTGCCGCCATCATCCTCATGGAAGACCTCCCACAGCGATGACTGAAGCAATTCGTCGTCACACCAATCTTCCTCGCCATAGCGCCAATCTTCCTCGCCATAGCCGTCGGAAGTCACATTCTGTCCATCGCTCTCCTCGTCCTTGTTCTCCACCTTCTCCACCTTCTCCACCTTCTCAGTGGTCTTCTTCCACGGAGGATCTGCCTTTGGCGTTGCACCTGGCACCTTGGCTGCAGCTGGAGCCACTGCAGGTAGTAGTCCGTCAGGTGGACCGAGAGGAGCTCCGAAAGGAATCAAAGGCGGTGGCGGTGGAAACGGATGAGGTCCTGTGAACATCATCACGGGAGGCGCTTGCCAACCGGGTGGAGGACCAGGTGGCTCAGGTGGGGCCATTGGCCTGAGACCTGCTGGCGGCGGAGTGCTCGGTGGCCTTGGTTGAAGCGTCACCGGAGGGGTTTCGGGAGTGCTCGATGAAGTCGTCGGTCCACCTGTCCAAGAGTTCTCCTTCAGGTGATAGTAGGTGTCGGAGTTGTTGCGAGGATAGGCCACGTCAGCTTCACATGGATACTTGCAAATGCCATTGAGGGTCGACTGCGCCAGTCCTGCAACAGCATCACGGACCTGACTCTCCAGCTCGTACGTTACGAACGCGTGGCAGGTCTTCCCAGGAAAGTGGCTTCCCTTGCGCACAATCCGGATGTGCACCAACCCATCTCCATGCCCCTCATTCGTCAGGGTATCCGCAAGCTGTTTCGAAGTCGTGGAGAACTCCAGGTGCTTTAGAAAGAGCCTGTGCACTTCAGAGCTCATTGCTATGGCAAAGCAAAGCGAAATGAATGGTGAACTTTGAAATGCAAAAATGTGCTCATCAAATTTGAGAAGTACAGATGGCTTGAAGGTGGATGAGTATCGTACTCAATGAATGTCAATGTATTGCAACATCTGAACAATGCAAAGTGAAGCTGTCCAATGGGTTGCGTGTTCGTATATAGGAACATAGAGCTTGTCAAAATGCAAATGCGCATGATTTGCAACGTTTGATTGGGTACAAGCTTGCAGGATTTGTTCTTGAATCTTCAACTCTGAAAACCTGCTCTGAACCTGTTTACGTCGATCAAACACAATGACTCTCAGCTCTCACAATGACTCTCGCACAATGATGTGTTGTTCAAGGAAACCCTCAGCGCAAGCACAAGACCGCCTTGTAAAAAACGATCAATTTACATGAACACAATTGAGCAAAGATCCATGTGTTTTTCGAACAAACTCTTGACTCTCTCAAGTTCCCTCAAGGTTGTTTCTCTCACGGTTTTCCCTCATGGTTTCCCTCCAGTTCAACAAATATAGGTCAGGTCTTCCTCACGTTCAAAAACGCATTGGAGCAGTTCAAATTATGGGTTCACATAATTTCGCATCTGCATCGTTCGTGTCTCAGTTCAACGCCATGCAGGCTCTGCTGGATATCCTTGATCCACCTTTTCGGGCTGTGGCCTGAATCAAATTGAACAAACATTAACAAATGACTGGCTTTGCAACAACACGTATTGGACCATGTATATGTGAACTAATACAATATTTCAATGGCTCAGACCTGGTCATACTTCAAAAACTAATCGATGTCCTCAGGCTCAGATTTGACGCGCAAAGGCTCTTGAGCCTCAGGAGTGTGCTCAGGATCCTTGATCTTCTGCGAAGGCTTCTTCATCACTGCGGGGGTCTCATAGTCATCATGTTCTTTGGAGATAGGAGTCTTCTTCTTGGTCTTCTTTGCGCTGGGTTTCTTCATAGGAATAGGGATCTCTTCTTCTGCCTCATCTGCCTCTCCCTCTTCTAGCTCTTCTCCCTCTTCTAGCTCTTCTCCCTCTTCTAGCTCTTCTTCTTCCAACTCTTCTGGCTCCACTTTCTTTCCCTTCATGGCCGGCTTCTTGAACACGACCTCACTTCCTAGGGGCCATCGTTCATCAAACCATGCGCCTGCTTTCCTGCTTTGCCTGCGAGCTTCTTCTTGTGCAACCTCTTTCGAATACCCCTGTCGAACCAGGAAGTCTTGAGTGCGGTGGTAAGCCCTCGAAGTGTGTTGGTTGCGCCGCTGTTTTCGAGGAAGCTTGTCTGGACCAGGCACTGCTTCAAAGCGAAAATCCAACTCCTTCAACAAATGCTCCAAACTTTCTGACTCATCCTTCTTTTGGCTCTTCGATGCACGGCTGTCTCCTGCTGCAGAAGGTCTCTTCTTTGGCTGGGTTCTGGTCTCGTCTTTGTTCTCTTCTTCTCCCTCTTCTGTCTCCCTGTCACTCTTTTTCCCTTTCCCTTTTCCTTTCTTCTTATTCTTAGCCTTCTGAGCGTTGAACCTCTGGTTCTGGGACTTGCCATCTTTGCAAATAGGGGAGGCATTGGCTGCGCTGCGAAGGATAATCTCCTCTTCCTCTGGTGTGAGAACCAATTTGATAGGATGTTTCTTGCGTGGGGATTCTGTTTTTGGAGCTGGAGTTGAACGGCCACCCTTGGGTTGGGATGACTTCAGCAAAGTGATGGGAATCTCTGCTTCATCGGATTGGTGTGTTTGAAGGACTCGATCAAAAACCGCCAATGCATCACCTGCCATTGGGGGAGCTTTGCAATGCTCTTTGGAACCAGAGGATGGATGGGTCTGGACATCTTCGGGATGATCTTGTTCAAAAGGAACCATGGCCAGTTGTTTTGGACCTTGTTCATGTTGGGAACCTTGGCTGTCGTCCTGGTGCTCCACATCGAAGCGAATCAAATCAATGACGTGTGACAAGGTCTTCTGTTGTTCCTTGTCTGCTCGTCGAAACGCTTGTTCCTTTTTCTCCGGCTGCTGTTGCAAAGACCTCAAGTGCGAAAGCCCCATCCTGACGAAATCGTCGATGAGGTCAGCAAACTCATCTGTATTCTTTTTGCTGAAGTTGATGCGGTGCTTCTCTTCTAGGCGAATGATGGCCGTTTTGTGTTTCTTTGATGAAATGATTGCATTTGGCGCTACTTTCAGGTAGTCCTCAAAAAGGGTTGCCAATCCTGCCAGCCAAGTAATCGGTGTTGAGGTCTTCCACGATGTATTTGGTGGTGGCTGCAAATGTTTCATCACGTTTTTGTCCCCAGTGGTCTCCAAGAAGGACTCCAGTGGTTCCATCAAGTCACCCACGGTGACACTAGGATCTGCTACTTGTCGAGGTTTGGCTTTACTCAAAGCTCCCGACATGTTCTTCGAATTGAAATCGAATTGAAACTCTTCACGCTAACACTCCTACGTTTGAGTCACACAAAGAATATCGCAGATAGAAAGGAATACATCAATCGCAAGCACTTCAATCGCAAAGTCCACATACATCCCAAAACAATCCCTCAGGGTCTCTCACACTCTCTCTCAAGGTTTGCTGGAAAGATCATGCGCTCACTCAAGTATCTCTCAGGGTCTCTTCAAACACATCTCTCAAAAGTCAGTCTCAAGTATCTCTCAAAAAAACATCGCATCACATACGCAGCTCCTCTCACTCAACTGTGTCTCAAGACCTCTTCAAACATATCTCTCTCAAACGTCAGTCTCAAGTATCTCTCATAAAAGTAACTCTCAAGTATCTCTCAAAGGTATATCTCCCAAAATGAGTATCTCTCAAGTTATCTCTCAAAGTACCTCTCAAGAGCACATCTCTCAGACAAATGACTGACTGCAACAAAGAAACTATTGCTCTGACAGTTCCAAAGAGCATGTATCACAAAAAGCTGCCCAAACACTGATTCAAAACACTGCAAATCGATACCAAACACCTGTCGAAGTTTGGTCGAAGTTTGGTCGAAGTTTCATTTCTGACTATAACTTAGCCGTCGAAGTTTGGTCGAAGTTTCGTCGAAACTTCGACCCCTAGAATGGATGGACATCCTAGAAAATAGTGACTATTTTTTTAAAATAGTAACTATTTTGTAGAAAAAATCTATATATTTTTTGAACAAAGGTTACACAAAATAGTTATCTTACAAATAAGATATAAACAAGAAACAATTGTAGATATATAGTCAAACCTGATTTAACTCGAAACAAGGAATATATATATTCCTTAGATAGTTACTATTTTCAAAGAAATAAGCTAGATCAGTCTATTGGGCAGTCATTCATTCCTTCATTCCTTCTGTCGTTCGTTCATTCATTCGTTCAATCGGTCATTCATTCATTCATTCAGTCAGTCAGTCATTCACTCACTCACTCACTCCCTCCCTCACTCACTCACTCACTCGGTCGTTCGTTCGTTCGTTCGTTCCTTCCTTTGTTTTTCTATTCATTTTTCATTCGTTCATTCATTCATGCATGCACGCGTGCAATTCAATTCAATTCGTTTCATCTCAGTTTCGTTTCGTTTCCTTTCATTTCATTCCATCCATTGCATTCATTTCATGCATTCAGTCGTTCATTCATTCGTTCATTCGTGCGTTCATTCGTTCGTTCGTTCGTTCCTTCCTTCCTTCCTTCCTTCGGTCGGTCGGTCGGTCGGTCGGTCGGTCGGTCACTCACTCGCTCGCTCACTCACTCGCTCACTCGCTCACTCACTCGCTCACTCCCTCCCTCCCTCCCTCCCTCTCACTCACTCACTCACTCACTCACTCACTCAGTCACCCACTCACTCACTCATACACACACTCACACACTCACACGCTCACACACTCACACACTCACACACTCACACTCACACTCACACACTCACACTCACACTCACACTCACACACTCACACTCACACTCTCACTCTCACTCTCACTCTCAGTCTCACTCACTCACTGAGTCATTCATTCGTTCTGGCTGCAGGTTTGGCTCAAAGAGACCATAGGGACAAGCTTCCATCAACAGTCCACGCAGAAGAGACAAGTTGCAAGACACACGCAGGGGAATCATTCCCAAGGAGCAAAAAAGATAAGCCAATGTCACCTTGCAATGGGTCTATTCAAGACATTATTTGCATAGGACTTGCTGGCGGGACACAAGGGCGGAAAATCCATCCCACTGCGAAGCCGAAGCATTTTCCTACCTTAATATGAAGGCAGACGATTCTGCGCGTGATGATGCGAAAACTAAGGCTGATGCATGACTGACTGAATGACAGGTGAACCACGAAAGCAGCGTATAAATTTGCCTGTGTGTCAGGTTTCTCAGCTTCCAACTCCAGTCCGAAATGAAGCGAAGGCGGGCTTGTATGTCTCATGTTGCTTGTCTTGAAATTTAGTGTGTGTCTTTGTTCATGGAGGGCTGAAGAGTTCTGTTCCCCCCACAGGAATCCTTAGAGGGCTAATTCGCAAAAGGCACTGAGCACTACTCCCAACACCAGAATGCAGTTGGGTTTCAATCTCTGGGGGTGGTGCACAGTTTGTCCACGGTGCGCCAAAACCAGAATTTCATCCTTCAACTCTGGGCGCCGTTGTGTTGGAGGTCCCGCCCTGCAACCTTCGAACCCATGCTGCCTTGAAACCCTTGAGCCTTGGAACCTTGGGTGCTACCATCTTGCAAACCTCCAGCGCTGAAAGATTGAAGCCGGACCCCTTTCTGCTGTTTTTGATAGCTCGTCATTGCAACAGTGTCTAGTCATATGAGTCATATGCCATTGCTTTTTCCAGTATTGCTACGGGAAACAGAACAGCCACCAAAGAAACGCCTCCGCCCTGCCGGCGTGACAGCGCGCAGGGCTTCACATGTTGGTTCTCAGGCGGCGTTCAGATTACAGCGTTGCATTCGCCGCAACACCTGGCAGCACAGGGTTCGAAGGTGACACGGCGCCTGACAGCGCTCAGGGTTCCAAGGTTGCGGTCAGACCTCAGCGCGTGAGAGTGCCCAAAGTTTCAAATTTTGGATTGACATTTTGGCGCTGACAGGAACTGGCAGGTCACGTCGTTCCAGAGTTTCACAGTTTTGTTTGCGCAACAGCAATTGTACAACGGCTTGCGGGCCACGTCGTGGGGAAATTTAGGGCAGTAAGGCGTTTTGTTTTTGCGCGCCTTGGGCCTAAGGGCGATGAGCCCCGCACATGCTAGGGTGAGAACCTCCTGAATGGACATCCTACAGGAAGTTGAAGAAAGCGAGGCCGTCTAAAAGTCACGCAGGCGGCGCAGAGTCTGACGCAGGTGACCAGACCTGGTTCTTCATCAACCTGAAACAGCCTTCAAGACTATAGGGGTAGAGTGTGGTTACCAACCATGGTTAATTGCAGGTATGCCAGGTTGATCAGACTTGGCTTCCACCATCATGCGCAGCTTCGTTGGCATGCGTTTGGATTCTGATTGCGCAACGTCAACGAGTCTCGGCCGCTCGTGACAGCGATTTACACGTTTAGGCATGCTTCTCGACGTTGCAAAGAACCGCCGCCGGCCAGGGAACGCATCGTTCCAAATGTTCATTTTGTTGTTCGCAAGAGGAGAGAGGAGAGAGAGACTTTGTTGGTATAGGAGTGGATGGATGATGGATAGATCAGAGGAGAGAGGAGACGGACCTTTTTGTTCGTCAAGATTGTTGAAACTCCTATGGGAAGGGTGGACGGATCAGAAAATGCTCCTGAGCATAGCCAAAAGGCGGGGCCCCACTCATCATTCAGACAATGCCAACGAAGAACAAAACAAGAAAACAATGTGCCAGGCTGCTGTTTGGTTGGGCGCTCTTCCGTCCCGTGTCGAGTGTTTATCCCTTTGTCCTGTGGTCCTTTCGCCCTTGTGTGCCGATGTGATCTTTGCGCCAGGTGGCCGATGAAGCCCGAAACGTGAATGGCGTCCTGTGGTCGACACTGTCTCTCTAGCGTATATTCGACTTGCGGGAGTTGGCGACTAGGGCAATTTGATGGCCTTGGGCAGAAGTCAATAAGAAATCTAGATTGCGAAACGTTGGCGTTCGGACATGGGGTGTTTTTGCATCCGCTTGTCAATCTGAGTTTGGGGCAAACTACCCTCGAATACTGCTATTACAATGTTTACAACGACGCCTACTGCTGCTGCTGCTACTACTACTACTACTACTCCTGCTGCTGCTGCGGCTGCTGCTGCTGCTACTACTACTCCTCCTGCTATTGCTCCTACTCCTACTCCTCCTCCTCCTCCTGCTGCTGCTGCTGCTGCTAGTGGCTAACGGCTAATGGCTAATGGCTAACGGCTGCTGCTGCTGCTACTCCTCCTACTACTACTACGACTACTACGACTACTACTACTACTACTACTACGACTACTACTACTACGACCACGACTACGACTACGACTACGACCACGACTACGACTACTACTACTACTACTACTACGCCTCCTACTCCCACTACTACTACTACTCCTACTACTACTACTACTACTCCTACTCCTGCTTCTGCTGCTGCTGCTACCACTCTACCCCTACGTGTACTGCTACTTCTACTTCTACTTTCATTTCTTCTTCCTTTTTCCACTTGCGATCGTGCTCTGGTTCAAAGATGAATTGCCCAGGACGACCTCTTCGGAGACATTGCCAGGGACACCGTCAGCATTCTCTAAGTGCTTAGCGCTCGGCTGGCGCTGCGCGATGTGCTGGCGCTGCACGTGGTTTCGAGCTGTGCCTTGTTTGGCAATTCATAGTGGAGGCTGTGACAGGTGTTCCGGAGAGCTTGTGGAATTCCACATCCTCAGTTCTTGCACCTTTGTCCTTGGTTTTTGTGATTGTTTTGTGACCTTTTACCTGCAAAGTTGTTACAGAGGAGAGTCTGCTGAGAAGCCGAGGTTGTGTTCAGTATTGTTCTTGGCATCGCGCATCCCTTCTTTACAGAGCTATCCAAGTCAGCCGCACACCTATAATTCCGCATGCATGTGTGTACTCTGCCTCAGATTGTACATGCAACACATACATGCAGAGGAGGATCGCGCTGGGAATTGTCAGGGTCTCACACTTCTTGGAATTGATCACGAAACATAGCTCTTGAAACGGCTAATTACCTACTGTAGGGTGAAATTGTTAACAACAACCCTTTGGTCCTGGCACCCAGTGACACCCACCCCTATTTGATTGGTCACACAACCACCTGTTCCCTTTTCGCATTGTTTTTTGGTTGACCAGCAGCCTCCCCCTCTCCTTTTCTCTGCAAGATGAGAAAAACCTTCGGAACATTATCACATTCTCCTTACATGTTGTTTAGTCGTGTGTGCAATCTATCAAATGAGATGTTTTCTTGAGTCCACCCACAACATGGCTGGTGTGAGCAGTGTGAGCTGTAATTTGCCCTGAGCAAGACTATTCAAACATGGCAAGGACAAGTACAAGTGACTTCTTGACTTTGTTCTATGATGGCTGCTTGAAACAAATGAGGCTAAACTTTATGACTTTGAGGGTGATGTCCGACATGGCGGTCGCCCAGTCATGCCCTTTCATTTGGTGGCTGGGCTAGAAGTGGATCCGAAGAAGCATTGTTACAACATTTGCAATTGATGAGGCTTCAACTTTGAGAACGCCCCACACTCAATCATTTTTCTCGGGGTTCTTGCTGCAAGTATCAACCTTCTCTTTTCGAGACATTTTATATAGCTTTTAACCGTCATGTTGGATGTGCCGTTGGACCGTGAGAGTCAAGGGGCAATGCACCTCCAGTGATCTCGACAGGGCTAAGTATGGGCTAAGTACGACATGGTGAAATAGTTTAGACAAGCTTCAGTTTCTCATTTGAGTAATAGACATATGCCTGGGACCGAGATGTTTGGAAGAGGATCCGACTATTTTCTTTGCCCTGACCTAAGATCACATTGACGTTAGCCTCACAGACTCTGTCGGTTCTGCTTGCTGCATGCATTGTCGTGTGCAAACGTGGCTCCTGGAAGGCCGGGCTTTGCATGTTGAGGATTTGTGTTGAAAACGACCTAACTACGATGCTTTTGGTGATGCCGTTGGGGGACGTTGACAAGATTGTGAATGATCTTTTGACATGCAAAAACCAATTGCTCTGGAATTGGGCCCCTTGCCACATAGATTCGCTTTTAGTCCACACTTGGGCTAGGTGGCCTCTTGCGAGCTCTTCGATCCTAGGTGCCGCCGCAAATCTGGTTGTGAAAAGGGCCACATATCACGCTTTTGCAGTTTGGAGTGTCCGCTTTCCAGCTACAGTTTTGTTGTTCTCCGCCCAAAGGGCAGTCGTCGAGTTCACGAGGGACCAAAGAAAGACACTTGCTCAATTTCTTGAATGGCTAAGACTAGGAGAATGAGCACAGCACAACACTACTAGAACATCCGTGATCCATACTCAGGAAAAGGTTTGGACGCAGGACTGCCTACAACACTTGCTATGCCAAGACACACCAATGTTCTGATTTGCCTTCAGGCATTGCCACGTGCTTCTAATTGGGATGCTCTATGGACACATGGCCGAAGTGACAAGCAGAGCGGACCGCTCAGTCAAATGGACAACATTACCCAATCCACATTTGTTATCATTTGTTTGGACATTAATCAGAAGGACGTCATGCCATGTTTGTGGGAGAAGCTGTTGCGCCACGCTGTCCAAGACTGTCCAAGTAACTGAGGACTTGGGGATTTCTTGCAAACGGCCGCCTGCAACAAGTCCTCTACACCCGCATCTCATCGGAAGTTACTTGCAGCTGCGGCAGCTTAATTAGGCCAAATGGGGATTGACCATTGAAATCTTTATTGGAAAGTGTTCATGTTGATAAACCATCCATTGCACTGATGCAGCCCCAAGAGCAGCACTCGGGATTGCAACCTGAGGTAGTTCTGATGGTCGGCCAAAGCAAACTGGTCCTGTCTGCGTTGCTATCCAAATTCATCCTGGGAAGCAGCATTCCTGCGCACCTTGGACTTTGTTTGAAAGGAGATTGTTCGAAGTATCAGAGTTGTGCGATGACAGGAACAGGGCGTGATTCCTTTTTCACGAGCGAAAGTGCGGCACGCGAGGCAGAAACACATATGCGAAGGTAACGTCTTGGGAAGAGCTGGGGGCCGTTTGAGTGCTGCAGTTGAATGGTATTACCCTGAAAACCAGTGCTTTGGTGGATCTGTCGATCTGCCTGTTTGTTTTGATTTCTGATGGTTTGAGCCTTTCGCGGTGCTTTGTGCCAATTGAGGATCTTGTGGTGACAGCAAGTTAGCCTTCAGCAATGTAGTTCCGCGTCAAACAACCACAGCAAACTTAACAAACTTAACACCTCAAGATTAAGGTTCCCTGAGAATCTAGGAACCAAATCGACCATGCGAAAGAATCCTTCGCTCTTTTGCATCCCTCACCGAGTAGCCTCTTGCTACTAAGCTCGTCTCATTCTCTCACCTCGTCAGGGGTTGGACCCGCCTTTTGACCTTATCTATGGCGACCATGGCATTGGCTGACATCAGTGCCAATGGTACACTGTCGAACAGCTCTTCGGCAGCATATTGGCTTATAATTTCGTTTGCTTGGCCAATGTTTGAATGGCAAGAGTTGTTTTATTCATGAACATATGACATAAGCAGTAGTCACCGCACAGGTTTGTTCGAGAAGCTTCTGCTTCATTCTACCAAACCAGTTTTGACAATCAGGGGCACGACCATTCTTCTTGCGAGAAACGATCGCTAAGAACCACCTTTTGATCCCTTGCCCTCCGGAAGAAAACACAACTGTTTGCGCAAAATCACCATGAAGGTGTCAAAGAACCTTGACCATGCTTCATGAATCCTCTGGCGGTTCCAGCGTTCAAATTGTGACCGCAGCGATTTGCGCTGATCTGAACCTGCTACTAAAGGTCCGGAAAGTTCGGATTTTGCAACACCAAACACATGAATGAACACTGTTATATCTGCGCCAAAAGATATCAAAACCGCAAATTGCTCATGCATCAGCTGTCAACACCTTTGGGTTTTCAGTGGCGGGGCTTGACTGCATTGATTGCTTATAGTGGTATCATTAGCTTCCTTGATGCTGAAAATGCATTGCAATGAAAGTAGCACTGTCAGCATCATGTGCTACTACAGCTTCACTGCAATACACAACAATTCAGTACCTTTCATCTGCCCTCCGGCGCTGCATATCGCAAAACCAATCACTTGAATTTGTCCACCAGCTTCTATGTCGCCTTCGGTCTAATGAGAGCTTCCAGTAAGCCGCAAGCTTGATTTTCTGAGGTGATGATGATGATTACCTGGGTGCTCTCTTGGCTTTGCTGAAGGCTATACTGTCCACCACAGGCAAGCTGCTCGTGCAAAAGTGGCGGATCGCTAGCAAAAACACTGAGAAACTGCTGCGGTCGTCTTCTATGGCCATACTGCAGCCGATACGTAAAAGGTTTCACCTTTTGGAGCGCATCCTGCTTTACAAATGGCGTTAGAAACGAAAGACTGCGACAGTTTCGTAGTTTTGTTGTCATGGTGGGGCAGAACATGTATGTGGGCTGACATTGATTTGGCAGGGGTGGGGATGAAGTACGCGGATTGCCACAATGCGTGTTGGCCAGGGGCAGTTTTATCTGAGCGAGAGTACAAACAAGGAGATGGCCAGAGTGACTTTTGGGTTGCTGCTTGGAGGCATGAGACACAAGCCTTAGGTTGCCTGTGCAGCCTTCTCGTGTTTCTTAGCATTATGGAGTGCTGCGCTGGCGGCATTGGAACGGACTGAGGTCTCTTTTCGGGTTCAGCTGTCGATGCTCCTCACAAGCGCCTGGGACCTTTAGTTCTGAACCCATGGCCAGTGAATGTACGTAGCCGCTCTACAAACACCAATAATCTTGAAATTCACTTCTTGCCTCCCAGCATGATGTTTGCCATGCTTTGTTTGTGTCAGAGGAGCAAACATATTCCGATAGGAGTTCCTTGTTGGAAGCAACTTTTGGATTGAGGTCTCGCCTTGCTAGTTTACAACAATGAAGTGACGCAGCTTTGGACCCACGGGATCTTCTCAGCAGGGCCTTATTTGCAACTTGGACTTTATGCCCTGGCCAACTAAGCAGCAAGTCAATCAATGTTTAACAAGCTCAAGCATCGGCTTGTTTGAAGGAAGCTCAGACTCGAACCACTTGCTGCTTTGAGGGCCACACTTCTTGCCATCAGATTGGAAGGCTGTGCAACAAAGTGCTTCTCGTTCTCGGGCCTAGGCCGTGCGCTGATGGGCTTCGGCCGATGGCTTGCGGGGATCACTGTGTCCTGCCTACTTCAGGGCAAGCTGGATGTTCAGAGAGTTTCTGCGGGTCGTTTGTTTGAATTTGCTGAGGCACCTGTGCTACTACAACAGGATGGGACCGCAGGAATCACAGCTCAAATTTGCTTGAGTGCAAAGACTTGGCTGGAACTCCAAGTTCATGATTGGGCAAGCATGAGCTTTTGTTGGCAACCTACGATTTTACAGGGCATGGCACTCGTTTGTGCACGCGGAAAACGCCTCGCTGGTACACGCGGAAGACGACTCGCTTGTACACGCGCAAGTTGGAAGACTAGGAAGCCTTCACCATAATGACTGCACTGGCACACATGTGCAAGGATCAAGTGTCTCCCATGAAGGCAGGAGCAAGCATGCAGATCTTCAAGGTGTCAGATCGTCCAAGGTTTTCGGGACTATATCAGACAAGAAGAGACTCGAAGACATTTCTGCGCCTCGGGAGTTTCCTTGTCACACATCCTTTGACTCTATCGTCGTTACTTGCGATGAGCGTGTGTGGAAAAGATCGGCACTCCTGCCGTGATTGAGCTGTGGTGCACCAGGTCACTGAGCGGCCCACTGGGCTTGTTTTCCTTGGCTTCCACGTTCGAGCTCACTGGGGAGACGATGCGATCAAGAAGAGAGATGGTGATGCACGGCACTCACTGACCACTGCAAGATGACCTAGACGGAGATGAGCCCGCTCCCCAAGATGAGGAAGAGGCGGTGGGCTGAACATAAGCTGGCTTGGTATCAGAGGTGAAGGATGAGGAGCAAACAGCTTGGATCCAGCTGCAGGGTGCCAAGAGGACCCTTCGTGAAGCGCGTGAAAAAGATTTCTCGGAAACTCTATCACACTTCCTTTCCCATTGGCGCTGGGAAGAACTTCGAGCTCCACCATGGCCGAAGGACCATGCTTCCTATGCGGTGAACAAGGACATGTGAAAAATGAATGTCCAAAGCGACAAAGTGCCCAATACACTGAAGAAGAAAAAGAACAGGTCCACCACACCTTCCACACAGGCCTCACCCCGTGAGGATGTGACTGCGAGGGTCTAAATGCTTGAGCGTGGGACTGCGCTTGAGCGCTACATGAAGAACATGAAGGACACACGGCACGGTGTCGCCAGTTCAGAGGCAGACCGACCGGTTTTTGGCTTTGGACATTCACAGAAGTCCAAACGCCTGTCGTTGTCAAGTCCAACCTCCAAGCAAAGACAAGTCCATGTCTCTGCGAGTACATGTCCTGGAGATGATTCTTTGAGTGGCTCATTGAGAAAGATGGGAGCCGTCGTCAACTAGCCGTGGCTGCTTTTGTGGCCTTGCTCCGCCGTCTGTCCTTTTTGAATGAGGGCCAACCTGGAGCGGCCAGTGCGAGACCTATGACCTGATCCAGAAGTGTTTTCTCGTCGAGCGAATAGGAAAGGAATGTCTGTGAGGAAACTACAACTCATTCCAGCTTTCAGTCACTTTTTCCGCTGTATCATGCCGCTTTGAGCCGAAACGCTTCTCAAGACCAACAGCAGCAACAACAACCACAAAACAACCATAAACGAGAAGGAACGGGACTTGAGCAGCAGGCAGTGACCACGGGTTGATGGCAATCGAGAAAGCCGCGCGTCCCGCAGCTTTTTCTTTTGTTCAAGCTCTCTCTGTCCATCGCGGCGCTGAAGCCACCCTACCTGTGCAGTGCAGCCGAATGGTGAGAGAGTCCCGGATGCCCGGGACTATTGGCAGTGAAAGAACCAGGCCAAGATCAAAGAAGGCCAACAAGAACTCACCCGGCGGTTTGCTCTCCCTATCAGCGATCGACAAGTGCGACGGGGGCGCGAAGATCACCTTTGCAAGCGCCAATGTCCCAAAACGCGCCACCTTCACGGAGGTCATGAGTACAGACCATCAGAATGCCATGACGCACGGGTTAAGATTTCAGGCTTGAAATTTTGGAAAGATCGATGGGGTCTGCGCCCGACGCGAGCTCTATGGTTGATCCGGGATGGGGCGTTTGACGTCCGGATGATCTGGTTCGGAAAGGCTCTGGTATTGTAATCACAGATAGCAGGACTGCGTGTGATAAGTGATAGGCTCCAAGCGAAAGAAGAAAAGAAAGAAAGACGCCTGTGGTGGCTGGAACCATGCCACTGTGAGTTGAAGGGCAAGAAAACAGTGCCAGATGGCATTGAACCATGCCGCTGCAAGGGTTTTAAGGGGCCTTTACAGCAGAGCAAGACCTTGCCAAAGACAACCCACATACAGACACTCTTCTGGCGCTCAGTCCGGCGGCTCGAGGAGCAATGCCGCTACAAAAGTTCTGGCGGCTGCAAGGGATCATGCCGCACCGAGCAAGAACACCTTGCCAGAACACACCTCTTTCAGCGCAAGGGCTCCACACCTTTGGTGGTGTCAGCCTGGCCATAGCCAGGGCAGGGTCGGCAGATCTAGAAGAGGAAGGAGCCATTCCAATGTATCGAGCCCGGCCCGACAGTAAAGTTTAGAGGGGGCAGGGGCCGTTCCAACGTAGAAGACCTTTTGTGAGCCACAAGGTGACTTGGAGGAAGAAAGGGCAATTCCAATGCCCCAGAACGTGGCCATTCCAACATAAGCCGCCCTGAGCGCAAAAAAATCGAGGAGGAAGGCGCCATTATTCTGGGTAAACTTTTAGATGTAGCGCACTCTTTGTGAGCCAGCAGGGCAAAATTGAGTGGAGGAATGAATGAACCTTTAACTTTCAAATGTCACATACCCCTGCCACTGCGGTAGACTTTCGAGGAGGAAGGGGCCACGGACACGGAGGCCTGCCCGCAAGGAACTGCTGTATCTGAGGCCTATTCGTCCACTGGCGTTCCTACATGCCTGTGTGCGCAAGTGTGTCACTCCGTGTGCAGGTAAGTCATTGCGTGCGCACGTGTGTTAACTTTGGCGTGGGCAGGCGAGTTTTGGGACATTGCCCCTATACAATTAGTATCAATTATCTAAATAGGTGGGGTCGACTGTCGACCTCGCATGTGCAAGTGAGGTGGCTTTGGCGTACGCAAGTGATTGGGGCACCACTTCACGACGCAGAGGTATATTTTTCTGCAACACCATTTTTGCCTGTTCACCGGCTCGACGTTGGCTCAGAGAGTGAGATTAGACAAAGACGCGCAAGAGCAGTTGCATATGGCACAAGTTGACACTTTCGAGGCTTAAGGGCTTGTGACTGTGCGCAACTTTTTTCTTTAACCCTCATCCTGGGCCCCTGCGCATGACGATGATATGATTCTGATTGCGACAGAGAAATTTGAAAATACATGAACATATTAGTCACTAGTTCAAGGCGTTGTTGTTCACTCCCAGTGAGTTTCGACTGGTTTCTTGGTTCGAACCAAGGACTTGCCTGGCCATGATTGCGATCATTCTCAACGGCTACTCCACCGGGTTATTCCTGAAACACCTATCAGCTGTATGCAAGGTGGACCATTGGCAACATGTGTAAATGCTTGCAACTTTTACAAAAATAGTGGTCAAGTACAAGTGAAGCTTTGGCAAGGCCGTGTGCAATGTGGGCAGTTCAGGGCTTTGCTGCGCAGTTTGTTGGCTCCTGGGCTTTAGTCCCTACACGTATGGACAGGCTTGGCATGGTAATGACAGTGGATCTTTTGGCCACAGGGATGGTTTTTGCATGAAAGTTAGTTCCAGGAACAATTTTTCCTTTCAAAACTGGACTGACAAACCCTTCAAGAAGACACAATACAATTCAGAATGTAAAGGAACTCATGCAGTGTTCCTTTTTTGAAAACTCATTTCAGAGCTGCTGTTGAGATTCCTTGCCAGGCCGCTGTCTCGATCATCGTGCCTTGAATGGAATGGTGTATCTCGCAATTGGCAAGATGACGGCGTCGTTATGGCCCCCTTTGTTTTTGCCCATCAGCATTGCTTCTTGTTTCATGGAAATGAACATTTTGCGGGGGGAAATTGCGATGCAATGAAGATGGCATGATGTTAATAAAACAAAGATGCAATTAATGAAGCGACATGACGTTCATCAGACGAAGATTAAGATGAACTTAATTGAACGAAGATGCAGCTCGTGAACCCCAGGTGAAATTCATGAAGTGAAGATGAAGTTGAAGCAACGAAGATGAAGATACTGAAACACATTTGTAATCATATTTTATGTATGAATGTATAATATATGAAACGAAATGAGGCTCTTGAAAAGAAGATTGAAGATGAAGAGCATGTCTCAAACAAGCGGATGAAAGGGTGACGTCGACGATCCAACCAAACGTCGCCCCCCCCACCCTCCACAAACCGAAGGTCTTTAATGCCTGATTTTGATGATGAACATTAAGTTCACACACACGACAAGGGAACAAGCTAATGTCCAAGAAACTTCCAAAATACAGGATCCCAAATTTGATCACACTTGCGTCAACACCATAAACAGATTGTTTGAGGGATTTTGGAGAGTATCTCTGATGTGCTCGAGAGTGGCGTGTCGCAGCTACACTGCCGAATGCTCTTGTGGTTTCTTTTCGCGTCAACTTGGCGGAGTTTACCTCGCTTCTGGGGCGCCATCAGGTCTTGCTACAATCCTACGAGTATCTCGTTGAAAAGGCTGCAATGGCAAGCAAGGAGGTGGCATCTATTCTGCAAGTACTCTGGAGCATGGGCACTGAGGGTCCGCCGTATGTTGGATCAAAATGATCAAACCTACTGTGTGATAGGGCGCTTGTTTAGCAGGTGGACGATGCAGCTTGGGCTGGGCAATATTCTCGCATTACTCCCCGAGGCTTCTTCCGTCAAATGTTTGTTGAACATAACAGTTTTTCTTCACATTGAATGCAACGCTGCTTGATCAAACAAGATCGTCCTTGAATAGCTAAATTTTTAAATACATGCGAGACACATTGAACACTTTTTGTTTTCTTTTTTCGCAGGTTGTTTAAGCAAAAGCATATCATTGTTATGCCTTTTTGTAGCTTTCCCATTGACATGGAAAAGGATATGAGACGCCCGAAAACATCCGATTGGACAACGATGGAGGACGCTCTACTTACTCTAGTCTGGACATGAATAGATAGGAATGCCTTTTGGTACTGCTACTGTTCGCATACTCTTGTCAATGTCTTTGACTGGATCAAGGCGGGACAAAAAGGCAATGTATCGAACTTGGAATATGACAGAGAGTTTGGCAACAGTATCGGGGATAAGGTGAGGACATGTATTGTGCACTGGCAGGAAGGTAGCGTCAGAATAGACAACTAGAGTGGCAGAAGGAAGCAGGGTAAAGAGAAGCGCCAGAGAAGGACAGGATGCCGTGAAGAGAGTTTAGAAAAGAGATGGCGGACACGGCAGACCGTCATGGAGTGGAGGATTTACAGTAACCATCTCTCTCCCTCTCTCTCTCTATTTATTTCCCGAAAGCATTGCGAAGGGTTCGTCTTCCGGAAAAACCCTTGAACACTGACACTTCGACACTTACACTTACACACTGACACTTCCACACTTGCACTTGAACACTGACATTTCGACACGTACACTTGAACACTTACGCTTTCACACGTACACTTGAACATGAACATGAACACTTACACTTCTATACGTACCCCAGTGTAAGTGGAAGAGTGAAAGCATCCAACGGCAAGTATCCAAGTGCATGAAAGCATCCAACGGCAAGTATCCAAGTGCAAAAGTATGCAAGTGTAATGAGTATGCAATGAGTATGGAAAACTTGCACGGGAGATGTCCTAACGAAAAACATTTCCCCACTTCATAAATTCTCTCTTAAAGGCGGAGGGTGGGACGAACAGCGGCAACCGAAACCCTCTCTGCGGAGATCGTGCGTGTCGAGTGCGCGAAATGCAGGTGAGAGTGCGATTTGTCCGGTGTGCGCGCAACCCTCTGCGGAGATCGTGCGTGTCCAGTGCGCGAAATGCAGGCGAGAGTGCGATTTGTCCGGTGTGCGCGCAACCCTCTGCGGAGATCGTGCGCGTCGAGTGCGCGAAATGCAGGCGAGAGCGCGATTGGGTCTGTGCGCGCGCAACCCTCTGCGGACATCGTGCGTGTCGAGTGCGCGAAATGCAGGCGAGAGTGCGATTTGACCTGTTCCCGCGCAACCATCTGCGGAGTTCGTGCGTGTCGTGTGCGCGAAATGCAGGCGAGAGTGCGATTTGACCTGTCCGCGCACAACCCTCTGCGGAGATCGTGCGTGTCGAGTGCGCGAAATGCAGGCGAGAGTGCGATTGGGTCTGTGCGCGCGCAACCCTCTGCGGAGATCGTGCGCGTCGAGTGCGCGAAATGCAGGCGAGAGTGCGATTGGGTCTGTGCGGCGCAACCCTCTGCGGAGATCGTGCGTGTCGTGTGCGCGAAATGCAGGCGAGAGTGCGATTTGGCCTGTGCCCGCGCAACCCTCTGCGGACATCATGCGTGTTGAGTGCACGAAATGCAAGCGAGAGTGCGATTAGCAACCCTCTGCGGAGATCGCGCGCGTGGATTGCGATTGGTGCGGCGCCGCAATGAGCTTCAGCCTCTAAACTCAGTAAACTGCCTAGCACATTGTTTTTCTCGCCAGGTGTACTCTTCTACAAGGAGGCGAGGACGAACTTGGGCCGAAGACGAATACCGCAGTGCCCACGATTGTTCACTGTCAGTGATACTTGGAAACTGAGATCCGGTGCCTCGCAGCCAGTCACTTGTAAGCATACCTCATCATCATTCCTCTCTCACACCGCCGCCGTGCCATGACTGCCCTGCGCCCAGTGGCTTGGGAGGCGTGGGTCGCGGAGGGCAAGGTCTGGTTGCGCCTACATCCGCGCGAGGACCAGAGCGGAGTGCCACGCGAGGAGCGCCAGCGCTCTTTTCCCAAGAGGGCGGCGTTTGCGCTGGTCACTGCGGCTGAAAACTTACCTGGGCGAGACCTCGGAGCCCAACCATGCGAACTTTGCGGGCAGTGGACGCATTCTTGGTGCGAGGCTTGTTCGCTGCGGCCGTTCAACGCCTTTTTGCGCCCTGTGCGATGCCGATCACCTTGTCTGTCGACCATGCCAGCGTCTTGGGCGGTCATGGGAAGCGGCCCGCGCCGCGAATACCACACCGCCCGATTTCATCGAACTCAGCGGCTACCACGACCAGACTGGCAGGTTTGTTCAGGTGGACCCACCGCTCCGCTTCCCACTGGCGGACGTGTCAACAGATGGCGCCCTCGATGCCGCCCAGTTGGCCCAGATGGCCGCCGCCGTGTCTCCGGCTCATACCATGAATTCTTCCTCACAACTCCTGTGTGGACGTCGTTTTGCGGAAGCGCAGCAAGTACTAGACATAATGTCGGGGAGTCTCTTCCATATACAAGGGCTGGTCGCGAGCTGAGCAGAGAGAGTGCGCAAAAACATATGCAATGGGTGCTGCGTCGTTTTTCTCTGGGAGAGGCGGTTAGAAAATGACCAGCATAGTGGTTCTTAACTACATCTAGAGCGAAGCACATGTCACCTTAGAGCCTCTGCGCAAGCAGACTGTGCATTTTCCGTGGCTGACCTTTCGGTGCTCACAGTGAGATTGTAGAAGTCTCCATACAACTTGGACCAACTACCAAAATATCTTAACCAGAAACCAAAGCAACTCAACAGCAATGAAGAATATACTTGCAAGAAGCTTCAAGGCACCCCACAAGCTTGTGCAATATTCATTTCCCACATGAACCTCTACAAGGCAAACAGAGCCTTCTTATGGCTATGCGTGTGCTATTTACCAATTTGCAGCCCACTTGCTCGTAGGTCTGCCTGTTTTCCCAGCCATCATGCCAGGGAACCTTGGCATTGTTGACGCGCACTGGTTCATCGTCACCGATGATGACCAGATACAGGTGTGCCTCTGTTGGTCATGGAAGCAGGACTTACCATGACGACCTGCCTGAGCTCCTCCATGAAAGATGGCCAAACCAGACCATAGAAGACAGAGACTGGGTTGCCCATGGAGAAACTGAACAGTTTTGGCGAGTGGGTGAGGAACAACAGCCGCAACTTCACAGATGCCTACACCGTCCAGCTCTGCTTCGGGTCGAGGTTTCGCCTGAGCAAAGACCATGAATCGAGGTCAAAAACATCTAGATGTTCACATGGTAACCAACTGCATGTCTCATACCGTGACTTCTCCCTGACAACTCCTGTGTGGACGTCGTTCTGCGGAAGCGCAACAAGGCGGTTACTAGACATAAACTATCTTTTCTGTGTACAAAGGCTAGTGGCGAGCTGAACAGCCAGAGTACGCTAAAACATATGCAGTGCCTGCTGTGTGTCACCTCGTGCTACTTTGTCACGTTTTTCTTTGAGACAATTACTGTGGTACACTGACTAGTATAGTGGTTGGTTACCTACATCATAGAAAAGCTGTGTCGTACTGTGCAGGAAACGTTACCTCTGATCGTATATCGATGGACGCATCTCCTCTGACAGGTCACTGCTTCGAGAAACTTCTTGCGTGGCTGCCTCAGCAATTTTCTATATTAATTCATTCAGCTCACTTTTTTCAGTGAGATTTCCTGCAGCCGTGCACGCTGCTTCTCCCCTTACCAGCAGTTCAAATGCTCACGACAATGAGCTGGGCTGTCACCGCTTGGCCGCCGGTGGGAGGTTTGGGAGGCCTGCGCGCTACTTCGTTCACCATAATACTGGTCGCGAGCCAAACAGCGAGACTAGGCTAAACATCTGCAGTGCCTGCTGTGTGTCACCTCACGCTACTTTGTCACGTTTTTCTTTGAGACAGTCATTTAGTCAATGACAAGCATAGTGGTTGGTTAACTACATCCTAGAAAAGCTGTGTCCTGGAGTGAAGGAAACGTTACCTCTGATCGTATATCGATGGATGCATCTCCTCTGACAGGTCACTGCTTCGACAAACTTGTTGCGTACCTGCCTCGGCAATTTTCTGTCTTCATTCCAGCTCGCTTTTTTCAGTGAGATTTCCTGGAGGCGTGCACGCTGCTTGTCCCCTTACCAGCAGCTCAAATGCTCTCACGACGATGAGCTGGGCTGTCACCGCTTGGCCGCCGATGGGGGGTTTGGGAGGCCTGCGCGCTACTTCGTTCACTATATCTACAGTGAAGACCTTCACCAGCAGCAGACATAGACGCACACACAGACAGGGACTCATACACACACATCACACGCACAGAGACCCATGCACTGCCTCAACTTACTCGGACACACACACACATACAGAGACTCATATACACACGGACATAGATACACACACAGAGACCCACACACTACCTCAACTCACTCGACTTAAACGCTTCACACTGAACACTTAACCGATAACGCGCGCTCTGACTTCCTACGTGATGAAAAATGCTTTCGGGCCCCTCGTCGTCTAGTTCTTCGTACCCTTTTCAAATCCACTCTCTCATCAGTGTGGTTTGGGCCACATCATCCCTTCCACACCGTATGACCAGAAGTCTTCTTGCCTTCCAGCTCTCTGCCCCAGCAGCTATGCCATGTGCTGAAGAGCTTCAGACAATGAACTCCAATGCTCCTTGATGGCTTTCTGTAGCCTTGACTTTTTTGGTTTTCTTGGGGCGCTGACCTCCTTGGAGCCCTGGGGGAGGTTTGACCACTGCTTCTCGGTATGTTTTCCTTGCCCATCTATCACCAGTCTGATGAAAGTTCCAGCTTGCCCATGTCACCCGCTTGTTTGCCCGTAGATCAGGAAGTTGGTTTTGGTCCCATAGACCTCCACAATGATTGCACTTGAGGGAAGGTTTGCCAATGAGGCAGTCTCCCCAAATCCAACTCTGCTTCCACTGACCACACACAATGTAGCAATGTAGTGTCTTCTCATAGTCAATCTGGTAGGTGCCTTTGTCCGCCGCGTAGCGATCTTCTTGTGCTTCTCCACCAAGTAGGCTTAGGGTGGGTCCTTATGGCCTTGAGTAGGGCTGCAGTCACAGGCTTTTGGGGCTGCTTGTCTCGATGCTGAAATGGCTATATAAACAAACACATTACAATATGTTTGTTCATGGGCAATTTGGCAGGCTTTCTCAGTAGCTCCAGACCCAAGGCCATGACCATGTCCTTTTTGTGGTTGGTACTCTATTCACAGTCCCGGCAAGTTGGGACTAAAGGTCACAAGATGCTTTGGTTAGTGTGCGTCCGGGCAAGAATAAGGAAGAGTATGTTTTGAAACGAGAGAGGGCAGAGTATATATATATATACTCACACACGCGCATATTATGTATTTTCAAAAAAACATGTAGTCAGCGCAATATACGCAGAACATAGATGAACATAGAGTCTTGGAGCTTGTGTCAATTGATGTAGCAAGTTGTGTGGAAGATGATGGGTCACCAGTCTCAAGGCTTGCTTGTTTCACATGTCGCGTGGGTATATGTTTTTGACCATTTGGGAATATATATTACGAAAGCCAGCCGATATGCTAGGCTGGAGTGCTTGATGGGCGAACGAAGTGAGTATTAGCGGTGTGGGGGTGGGGTGGTTGCGAGGCCGTGCTTTTCTGGTGGGTGAGCCCAGAGCCTGGTGGGGGAGAGCTAAAAGAAGGGAGTTTACAAATATAGTCAAAATGTATGTTTATCAGGGCATTGGCGATGCCGAAAGGTTGAATAGTGCATCATTAGCATCACAAAGTGGCCAGGCATTGGTGGGCCGAAATGCGTCGAGACTAACGGACTCAACGAAGAGGGTAGATCGCTTTGTCATTGTTGAGGGGAAGACAAAAAACGTTGAAAGACTATGCTTGCAGTCTGTTCAAAGGGCGTGTTCGTTTTGTCACGGTTTTGGGGAAGACAAGAAGGGCACCAGCAAAGGAGTGCCATCTTCTGGGATCTAGCTAGGTCCCCCCAAGTAGCTGTAAAGAAAACACGTTGAAAGACTATGTTTGCGGTCTGTTTGAAGGGAATGTGTGGTCCAGTAGTGGTGCCTCTTTCGATCGTTTTGTCACAGCTTTGGGGAAGTTCTATATTCTGGGATCTAGAACCTAGCTAGTGAAGAAATACGTTGGAAGACTGGGGGCTGGCTTTCGTCCCCTCCCTACCCAGGTAAGGTGTCACCAACAAACGGTGACTTTAGAACAGGAAAGCTTAACCTTATGCAACATGAGCTTGGACTTGCTAGGCCGTGTTCGCCCGGGCTGCGAGCTTGGACCTTGAGCGTCGCCGCTTACAGATTACGTGGGGCTACCGCGTGCTGCCAGCTTGTGAGGCTTTAGATTCTGAGGATATGGCCACAACCTAGTTGAAAACTCGCCACGACCTCACTATAAACGATGCTTTTGTGTGGAGTTGTGTAGCTGTTTTTCCATGCAAGACAGGGTTCCAAGCAAACAATTTTTTAGAGGAGTGGCAGGGTAGGAAACGTGAACTGCGGTGTTGAAATCCTTTGATCGAACAGGATTGAACACTTTTGACAATTCCATGGTTCCAGCGCAGTGAGATCAATTGGGTTCACAGACAGCGTCAGCCGCGTTTGCGTTAGCCAGCATTGAATGTTATGCCTTGCTGGATTTAATCGTAGGATTGTTTCACTGGGAGATGCTTGCTTAATTTTTGTCCGGCCTGGCTATTTCTTCCCTGACAGATTGTCAGCACAAAAAACAACAGTTAGCTAGTGCCAAGAACTACATTTTCCATCATATGCAATGGTGTGTGATGCAATTCGAGCGAGAAGTAGCCATGGCCTCGTGGGAAATGGGTTTTGATATGGACCTGGAAACCACCAAAGCTCCATGGGAGCTTGGTTGCCTGTGTTCATATCTTGGGGAACAAGCTGATGTGGCGACAGAAAGGTGAACAGACTATGGACGTGACTGCGCGAACTCTTTACACAGCATCCCATTGTGAACCTACTAATAGCGATTAATAACCTAATAGCGATGGCCACCAACAAACCGGATGCGCGCACCGATCTCTCGCAAAAAGTCGTTACGCAAGGATCCTCGTTAAATGTTCTTCCAAGGCGGTTCCCTTTCCAAGACTGAGCAGCCTTCGGAAACGAATCTAACTGCAGAGCGTGAGACTGTGGAAAAGGATGCGTTCGTGGACGGGCAAAGCAGAGATGCTGCCGCAGTAGCCACTGGTGCGGAACAATCGCCGCAAAATGACACGCTTTCAGAATCTCAGAAGAGGTTTTCATCCGAACGTATCAAATGCAGCAAAGGAAGTCCGGCGAAAGCAGAGTCCTCCAACACTCTCAGGCCGAACACAGGGCACAATGGACGAGTTCGACTTTGGGTGGCGCGACTGGAATCGGCCAGGCATTTTTGGCGGTAATGCGCAGAAGCTCCTTTTAAGGGGAGCCTTCGAGAAGCTGAACATGAGTGACCAGAGCAGCCTACCAGGGTTGTACCGTGCGGGGTGGCCAACACCGAAGCCGAGGCGATGTGATCATGCTGACAACGCGTTGCAAAGTGCTGCAAGGAGCCGGGTGATTCCGGAACAAAACGCTCAACGTCCTCGCAGCACTGCTGGCTGCTGGAACGCGCAGGGGGGCACTTTCAGTGACGGAAGCAAATCTTATAGTAACATGTTGGATCGACCAGTTTCAGCCGCCGCACGTGGCGCTCCAAATGCTGTGGGCTTCAAGAAGGGGCTCCGCGAGCGGAAGCGACGTTAAAAGTACAACGTGTGCAAGTGTAACTACAGGTCTTGGTGTGCTGCCGTTCTGTTCTGCATTTGCAGTCTGTAACGCTACGCGTGATTCTTCTCTTGCTGACGCAATTGAAGAATTAATCTGAGGTTCCATGATAAAAGACGTGGATTTCATCCGACTTCCTAGATATATTTCAATCGTGTGCTTGTTGGTGAGAACAATCTTGTTCTTTGGCGCCGTATTGAGCTGAGCTACCCTACCAGCCCTACCAGTACTGCAAAGGACTTGCAACACAATGCGGGCCTTGTTTAATCGGATTGAGGCCGTGCGTTCCCCTCATCAATCAATACTGGATAAAGTCTTGATCGTGCAATGCACCCACCCGTATACACTTTCGCATGACTTCTCAAGTTCATGAGAACGCGCGGGCATTGGCCAGGCAGATGCTGGCGGAACCTCCAAAAAGGGTGTGCAAACTTTTTTTTAGTCAGGTTCTGGCATTCATGCTCAAAAAAAGCACTTTCAACTTTCAACATTTCCATGTGTGACAGCTTGAGCTTGCGCACGATGCACGGCGATGCACTCATTTAACAGCCCCCCTACAACCTCCTACATCGAGACCTTTGCAAGAAACGCAAATGTATTGACTCTCTCTCTCTCTCTCTCCCTCCCTCCCTCGCTCCCTCGCTCGCTCTACGCTCATTTGCACGACTAGAGTGACCCTTTGATTGCCACGCATCAAGCTCCCCAACATGCAAGAATGCGTGACGCGGCTTTGGCTGAGCAGGATTCACACACATTTCTTTGTTTTGTTGAGGAGCAAAGCACCAGATGCTTCCAGTGCATGTGCATTCGCAGCAGTTCAAACAGAAAGCAAGGTGAAACGACCAGCACCGGCTAGGCTAAACACTCAACATCGCCTCAAGCAACCCACTTTTATCCACATTGCAACAAAGTGAGCAGGCGGATCGCTTCGGGTGCCGCTTTCGGGTAGCAAACTTTTGCCCTGTGAAGCGGCAATGCAATGGCAGCAAGAAACGTGCGATGGCTCTTGCCAGTCGCAGTATTTGGACTGCGATGGATGTGGACTCATGTATCGGCATGTCGTATTCAGTCCGGCTTTTTTTGCAGTGGCTCTTTCAAGCAAATCGCAGTTGTCGCAAATCTAAACGGACAACAATCCATATCTAGTGTTTGGAAGCTCTCACCCCAGCAGTATTTGAGATTGTAGCTCTTCGGCTGCTTTAACATTTTTGCATTGGGCGGGATTCTCGAGGTTCTGGTGTGCTTTGCGGTTGCGGCAGAGCCCTCGAGGCATCGGAGAACTGTGAGAGAATGAAGAGGGCAACAAATTGAACATGTTGAAACTGAATTCCCAAGACTGATGTCAGACGGAACGATGGCGCTGGCTGTTTGATCATCGACAACCACACAAGGCTTTCAATCCGCTCACCCCTGATTGGGATTGTTGTGCACCCTAATTCTTGTCCCTTTTCCCTCCCTAGTACATGAGACAGACGACATTTGGAACTTGGTCATGGTCATTTCTCTAGCACAATGCACAAGCTGTTTTTTTTGCCGTAGCATAGATACATAATCAAACATTTGGCAACAGCAGGTGCGAGTCGCACTTGGTATGCACTCTTCGAGGGTTGCTTTGGATGAACATCTGACAAACAAATAGGAAACACCGACTATTTCAGCAAGGCTCTCCTTGGAACAAGCGGTGGTCCTCCGCAACAAAGATGCTTCTGGCTGATGCAGAAAGACGCATGAAAGATCCAACGCTGCAGGCAAAAGCAACTTTTTTGTTCAAACAAAAATAATGTACTCCTGAAAGGCTGCTGCGAGAACGGGATCAATCTATCGGCTTGGCTAATAACAAATGTGAATCGGAGAATCTGCAGACAAAGGTAGAGGGAAGTCTATCATTGTGTCCGTAGTTATTGTGAAACTCTGCATTGTGAAACGCAGGCAATGTTTCCGCTATGGTGTTGTTATAGCCTAAACTCTTGCTGATGTATATGGATATTGTAGGATTTGTAGGCATCTAAATCGTGACCAGCATTCTCAACGTAGCATTTGCTTCCATCTTAAGATCCACGATTGTACCACAATTGGCTGGTGACTTGCAGACCCTTTTGCCCCTTTTGCCCCTTGTCTTGCCACTTTGCATTTCCATGTGACCCTTCACAACTGGTTGTTATTGGCTCAGTGCGGTAGAATTTATTCCCTCGCGCAAGTTCATGCAACCTCGTGTAAGCTCACACTGCATTCGCGCAAGGTTTGCATAAGCATTTTGCACATGCAATTAAGGTTTCCATTTAGGTTGACAGATATACTTCCGGACTGAAACTTAGAATGCCCCTCCAAAAAACGCCGGAGGCGAGAACTCGTAGGGGGCACCATGGCAAAATGGGAACAAGTTGAGGTTGAATGCACAGGCTGGAGGAAAAAATAGTCTTAGAATGCGTCCTGGAAGTGTCTTGGGGTGTCAAATCCATGGCCCAAACGGCTGTCCATAGTGAGGAATTTAAGACTTAGAATGCGATGGATACACCTATGTTCCAATTTGATGGTTTGATTGTGCGCTTTTCAACACCACGGCAAACCCACAGCAAAAGTTCACAAACCACTGCACATAGTGGGATATTTGGCACTTAGACTGCGAACAATCATGACATGTATTATTGTATTGTCTTTCCTGTGGTGAGATTGCCCCAAAACAGCAAAGGCATCCTCAGAATACAATAGTCGCTATTTGATGGGAAAAAGAGCTGCTGTATCATTGCATGCGTTTCCAGGATGCCTGGGAGGCATTCTAACTCTTTTGCCGTGCAGTCGCATTCTAACTATCGGAGGCGGCAAATCGTCAAACATGTCGCATTCTAACTTTCAGTCCGTAAGTATAAAGGATTTTCAGCACCGCTCATCTGAATTTTGAGAGTTCTGCAAGGGCAGATCAATCAACAAAAGGATTTGTGACATGATCTTAGAATTGGCATTAAGACCTGGAGTAGTCCAGCGATTGACACCTGCTGAAACGCGATTGGTACGCGAAAAACCTGTGATTGGTTGGTTCCCGGACACTTTGCAATCATGCGATTCAATGTGGCTGTGGGAAAGAATCTGAGCACCAAAAATCGCTTCCCTCCCAAAACGACCCAAGAGGGGGTTGACCCATCCCTATCTCCTACCAAACCTTAAAAAGGATTGCAGAAGTCTGGCCAGGATCCATCCATTGCAAAGGGCCTGTTTACATCTGTTTACTGGATGCATAAGGAACGAGCATTCCGCTGTTCACCTGGGTTTGCGTTGGTTGGACTTGGTTGTTTGTACTATTGTTGTATTTGGGGACATTGCAAATCCATCCATTTTGCCTGTTCTGTTTGCAGCTCCAGGCAACTCTCAGAGAATGGTTCTGCGACCGAGGCTGGGTTACAGCTTCGGGGCATCAAAAGCGCCAAAGGATGTCAGTAGCTTTAAGAGGTACGGTCAGCACTGCGACATGTGTACCTTCCAACGCAATGTCACCTCCATGACTTTCGTATTATTTGTTTGCAATCTTGTTCAGCAGAAGCGGACCGGCAATAGCCAGGCCCCTGTGTTTTGAGCTGTTTTGAGGCTCCTTTGTGCAAAATCGTTCCTCCAGTGTCCAGGCGGTCAGCCAATATCATGGCATGGGCGTCCTG